CACGCTGGGGACGGGACCGGGTACCGGAAGTATGGGGCGGAGTCAGAAAGACCAGAACCGGATGGGGAGGGGTTTGAGCGTTAGGGGCGGAAGCAGGGAGGTCGAGGACCGAGGCGGGGCGGGGCCGCGCTGTGGGCGGTAACTAAAACTGGCGTGTAGGGGCGGGGCTCTGGTGGGTTAGGGGCTGGGACCTGGGCGGTGACAAGGGCAGGACGTGGGCGATGGGGACATTGGCAGCAGCACGGGCACTTTGGAGATGAGGGCAGGGCCATAACTGGAGGCAGAATCTGGAACCCACGGGTGTTGGGACCAAGGATAAGGGCGGAAATAGTATGGAGCGAGACGAAGGAGGGGTCCGTGGTTGGGAGCAGAGCCTGGAGGCTTGAGTGGGATCAACCTGTGAGCGGAGACTGAGGCAAAACTGGAGTCAGGACCAGCTGGGGGACTGGGAATTGGTGCCTAAGGGCAGGTACAGAGGGCATCAGGCATAGATGGGGCTTGGGCGGGGGTCCCAGTAAGGGTCTGAGACCTAGATAGAGACGTGGTTGTGAGATGAGGGTGGCGTCAGGGGTCAGGGGAAACCCTTGCCCTGCACTCTGCCCCCGTGTGCCTCAGTTTCCTGTTCCCCCTGGGAGCCCCCAGGCTTGACCCAAGCTATCTGTGCAGGCTATCCATGGCTTCCGGGAGACAGAGAAGTCTCGCTGGTCAGAGGCCAGCCGGACCATCCTGCAGCGCGTGCAGGCAGCCGCCTTCAGCCCCGGCCAGGCCCTGCTCTCCCCGGTGCACGTGCTGGACCTGGAAGCTCAGGGCTACATCAAACCCCACGTGGACAGCATCAAGGTGGGCAGAGGCCCGCGCCTGGGAGTGCCCAGCAGCGGGGGATGGCCAGGCCAGAGTCTGACGACCCCCACCCCACCTCTTCTTCCAGTTCTGCGGAGCCACCATCGCCGGCCTGTCGCTCCTGTCTCCCAGCATCATGCGGCTGGTGCACACCCAGGAGCCGGGGGAGTGGCTGGAACTCCTGCTGGAACCAGGCTCCCTGTACATCCTTAGGTACCGTCTGCCGGGAACCCCTACCCCTCCGGAAAGTACCAGATGCACCCATGTGATGCCCCCAGCACATTTCCTCAATCCAGCCATCCCCACACTCTACCCTTAACCCAGGGCGGGTACAGAAGGCAGCAGAGGGGCTGGAACCCAGGTCTCCCCGCCCCCCACCCCGAGTCACAGCCTGCCTTTTCTTGCAGGGACTCGGCCCGCTATGACTTCACCCATGAGATCCTTCGGGACGAAGAGTCCTTTTTCGGGGAGCGTCAGATCCCCCGGGGCCGACGCATCTCCGTGATCTGCCGCTCCCTTCCTGAAGGGATGGGGCCAGGGGAGCCCGGACAGCCCCCCCTGGCCTGCTGACTCCCGAGGCCTGCCCCCCAGCCTCCCACAGACACTGGATTTGTGAATAAAGTTGAAGAATGAACAAGGCAGCCTTCCTTGCACGGGCTGTTGGCCGGGGTTGGGATCGGCAGGTGAAGCCTGACCCTGCCTATTGGAGCTGAGACGCACACCGGCTGCGCACACGGTCACAGGCCAGGAGGGTGGTGGCTTTTATTGTGCCCTTTTGGCCGCCCCAGCCCCCCTCCCCTTATCGTCTTCTCCACACCCCAGTCTCCAATAAATAACTCAGCCGAGCTCCCTGCCGACAGCTCCCAGGCCCTGGATGGGCACCTTCAGCCGCCACAGCCACAAGCGGCCGCTGAGAGCTGAGGCAGCCGCTGCCAGCGGTGACGGTCATCAAGGAAGGCCAGGTCGACGTAGCGGGTGGGCCGGCAGCAGGGCCCGCCATGGGCTCGGCCCTGGCTCCGCAGCCGTGCCAGCACCAGGCCGTG